GTGAAAACAGACGGATGGACATATTTATAGTCAAGGACAAGGACTCTTGAGATGTTAGATTATAAGTTACATATCGCGAAACTTTAAGGTTCATGCTAACATCGTACGCCTTGCTCCAGTCCATTCGAGAAATTTAATCTCGTCTACTCCCTTGTCTTGCTTAGCTATCCTCTACGATCAGAAATTAAGACTGGACACACAAGGACTGTCTGGGGGAGTGGGGGAGGCTGCATTTTGAAATTTGAAAATACAATAATCTGTGTCTGACTTCATATCCGTTTCGTCAGTAACTCTAAACATTAACTATCGTTTAACAGCTGTTGTTTCATGCCTTGTAGCTACAAAATTCAATTCGCTTCTGTTCCCAAGAATTAATCCGTCGTCATATTCTGTAATCCAGGGCTTTAGCCATCTCTTATTGTAACCAAAACACGTTTTGTGCTCAGATTTTACACAGAATCCAATATCGGTCTCTTGCTGCTTGTAATTAAAACTACATGCGACGTAGGTATTGTTCTAAACCCATGCTTATTACAAGCAGATTATAGACCAGGTCATGCTAACCTCCATTATCATGCTTTGCGTTAAGCTACGTCAGAATTTGTTACGTCATTTAAAACACTCACGCGTCTTAGCTCAATAGAGGATTTAAAAAACTCTACATTCAACAAAAGAATGTCACAGCTGCAGAAAAAGAAATTGCTTTAAACTATTTCGAGGTATCTGGCAACACCAAAGTGCCAAAGAGAATATCTGAACATGCGTTAGAGAAAATACCAAAAGATTCGACGAAACACCATAATAATTTGTAGTTTAGATGCGTCATGTTTGTGTTGAAATTCAGTATATATTTATTTATTATTTCAGTCTATACACAAACTTTAACAACAACAACATTAAAAATTAAGTTTGTGTATAGACTGAAATAATAAATAAATATATACCATAATAATATGCCTGATATTAATATAAGCGTGATCAAGACTTCTGGCCACACAGAAGGAAATGAGAAATGCATATAAAAGATGGGCTGGGAGGCGCGAAAGACAAACATGGGAAAGAGATGCAAATAGGAGGAACATCGCATCTTGATACGCCAGGTAAGAGACGACATCGGAACACCGACTGAAAGTTTCGAGTTAGCTGAAGCGGGAAACCCCTTAGTTCGGCAAACTGGAAGGCACTTGTGACGACCAAAGGCTGCTGACCTCACCCACGAGGAACAGACGTGAACTGATTCTCAGGAGGATAGCAGAGGATGTCCCTAGTAAGACTGCCACGTGGTCTAACAACTTAGCTGACTGCATTGATTGAAGATTTCCGTGCTTTTCCTCAGTTTTAAGGCAAATTCCAGGGTATAATTTAAAAGGAGCATGGCTCGCCTATCCCAGTCATAGAGATCTTAAGGCAAAATGATTTCCCCAAAGTAAAAGATTCCCAACTTGTCTGGGCTCAACTCTCACACATACAACCAACCAAAGTTTTATTAGCAAGGGACAAGATGCTGATGGAATCACCCTTACTCCAACAGCAATAACCCCTAGTCTGATCATGTCAGGGCATTACGCCAAGGAGAACAACCCCTTTATAGTGAGCAAGTTATGATTTATAAGGCACCGTTCAGAAATTTCAGACACTCGTTTCTTACGCAGGAATAGTCTAACCCAGTGGTTTCAACCTGGGGTACGCGTACCCCCGGGGGTACGCGAAGACATCTTAGAGGGTAAGTGAAATTTAAAAAAAAAAAATATTTTATGATAAACACTGAATAATCAGTAATGTAATTTATTTAATTTATTTTATATGTAGACTATATACTATGTATAACTTGAATTATACATCAATAACTTTGGGGGTACAAAGTTGAAGAGAAATTATATCTGGGGATACGTGAACCCCAGGTTGAATACCACTGGGTTATACCATTCCTGCGTAAGAAACGAGAGTCTGAAATTGAAAGCAAACGACATTCTTCTTGGAGTAGATTTTTTATCGTGCTTATTATCCGGGCTAAAGACACCATATTCACCGGAAATAAAACATAGGACATTTCTTCTGGGTTGTTAATTTTGTTTCTATAATCTTATTTTCGAATCAAACAACTCTGGTCTTGGAGTCGTTCTTCTATCTATAGTTTCCGAGTTATATGAATCGCCCTTACTGGGAATCAAACCCAGGAGACTACTCCGAAATTATTTTCCTATGGTCTAGTCATAGTCTCAAAGAATTCGCTTGTCAAGTTTGATGCAAATTGGAAAATTCGTTCTTAAGCTATATGTGAAAAAACATATATACAATTTAAAGTTTATATTTTTTGTTACAAGAGACTAAAGATAAATGCAGATTAGGCCTACCATTGCAACTGTCAAGATCAGAAACTATTACATCTACATTAAAGTAAACGCTGAAGATTAATCACAGAACTTTAGGTTGGATGGTTTTGTAATTTATGAGTTGGTTGATTTTGAGTGGGATTTTTTTGTTGTGTCTTATTGTTTTTGTTGTGTCCTTTTGTTTATTGTTTTGTTCTGTCTCATTGTGTTGATGTATCTCATTGTTCTGTTGTGTCTCATTGTTTTGTATCTTATTGTAGGTCACTGCCACCGGGTATAAACCCATTTGCAGTCAATAATAAATAATAACAAGACGACAGGCTACAGTGTTAAGGCTCCGAATTCTTGTTCGAATCTCAGCCTGCTATTACGAAGTCTGAGCAACGCTAAATCCATATTCTTGAATTGTACTTTCACAAAGGCCACATCCAGCTCATTCCAAATTCTCTCTTCCTGATATTTACATATCTCCCGACACTAGGCAAATTCTGCAGTTGAAACAGAGACATTAAATAGTCTAGAAATCAGTACGATATATCATATTTTCCCTTCCGCAAGTATAAGTGAAGTCTTGTGATTCTAAGCTAGCACAACAGAAATACGTCTTCCGAGTCTCAGAACGAACGCTGAAGAGATTCTTTCATTTCATATTCATACTGTGGCGGGAGGGGGGGTCTTCAGGCATTCTACTCTGCCCTTTGATCATCTCCGTTTATATGTAAACGTTGTGAAAATAAGTTGTAACGGACCATCTGTCAGAAAGAAAACACGAGATCAAGGTCGCTAGACGAGATTTAAGGCGAAACATACCAACTGTTTATGAAGTCAAACATCAGTCAAGCTATTACAAACACACTGGTGTCATCGATAATTCCTCTCACGGCTACCAAGACCTTCTATGATTATATCAATGACGTCAACGATGCGAAAAACAGCGATGAAACGTTAGCGCACGGTCATGATTTTACAAGGAAATTTATTAATCACGGTATCAGCACATTCGTGCGTTCTGCAAATAATAACTTTGAAACAAGGATTTTCCTCAGAACGGGAACTGATGTCATGTTCAATAGCCCCACCTTCGTATATTTTATTTTCCTTCCATACGCAACGCCAACATGGCGGCCGTGCGAAATGATGATGCGATTCTACTCTACATCGAAAACGCATTTTACCTGAAGACGTTAGCCACTTAAATGAAAACAAGATAGTCTCTTGTCAAGAAACGGAATCTTAAAACACAAACTGAACGTTCGCGTAACTATTTTGTTTATTGTTTTGTTCTGTCTCATTGTGTTGATGTATCTCATTGTTCTGTTGTGTCTCATTGTTTTGTATCTTATTGTAGGTCACTGCCACCGGGTATAAACCCATTTGCAGTCAATAATAAATAATAACAAGACGACAGGCTACAGTGTTAAGGCTCCGAATTCTTGTTCGAATCTCAGCCTGCTATTACGAAGTCTGAGCAACGCTAAATCCATATTCTTGAATTGTACTTTCACAAAGGCCACATCCAGCTCATTCCAAATTCTCTCTTCCTGATATTTACATATCTCCCGACACTAGGCAAATTCTGCAGTTGAAACAGAGACATTAAATAGTCTAGAAATCAGTACGATATATCATATTTTCCCTTCCGCAAGTATAAGTGAAGTCTTGTGATTCTAAGCTAGCACAACAGAAATACGTCTTCCGAGTCTCAGAACGAACGCTGAAGAGATTCTTTCATTTCATATTCATACTGTGGCGGGAGGGGGGGTCTTCAGGCATTCTACTCTGCCCTTTGATCATCTCCGTTTATATGTAAACGTTGTGAAAATAAGTTGTAACGGACCATCTGTCAGAAAGAAAACACGAGATCAAGGTCGCTAGACGAGATTTAAGGCGAAACATACCAACTGTTTATGAAGTCAAACATCAGTCAAGCTATTACAAACACACTGGTGTCATCGATAATTCCTCTCACGGCTACCAAGACCTTCTATGATTATATCAATGACGTCAACGATGCGAAAAACAGCGATGAAACGTTAGCGCACGGTCATGATTTTACAAGGAAATTTATTAATCACGGTATCAGCACATTCGTGCGTTCTGCAAATAATAACTTTGAAACAAGGATTTTCCTCAGAACGGGAACTGATGTCATGTTCAATAGCCCCACCTTCGTATATTTTATTTTCCTTCCATACGCAACGCCAACATGGCGGCCGTGCGAAATGATGATGCGATTCTACTCTACATCGAAAACGCATTTTACCTGAAGACGTTAGCCACTTAAATGAAAACAAGATAGTCTCTTGTCAAGAAACGGAATCTTAAAACACAAACTGAACGTTCGCGTAACTAACATGGAATTGACCTCACAACTTGAACTGCGAATCAAAACTGAAATCTGAAAGAAATGTTTTCAGCAAGACGTGGTCAACACTTCCTTCACAACGGGCACATACAAGCCAAGTAGTCTGCTCTTCTGCATAAAATATCTTCGTAAACTACAGAACACTGAAAGAACGCCAGTGCGCGACATATACATTGTATACCAATTTGGTTTCAAGTTTGATGACGACGGATAATATATTATTGGAGATATTTACAGATCGATATGAAACTCCGTACTGACAATATAATCATGCAAAGAAAAAGTTGTGGTCGAATAGTTACCACTACTGCATACGGTGGGTACCAGCTTCAAACCTCGGCTCTCAGACCGGGTGTGATGACTTGAGGTTTGTCTGTTAGGATAGGCAAATTCCGGGAAAATATCTGTAATCAGACCACGACCATTTCCTTTCAGATCCTTCCCAATTTATTAACCAGCCATTTAATTAATCGCAAATAAAAACAGACAAACATTTCTATGTTAGAGAATATAAAAGACATATCAGTTCGAAATTTCAAGTTCTACCGGGGAATATTTAAAGTAGATTACTGTGTGAATCTTCAGCATAAAGCATTTGGGCTACCGGCGTTGTTAATACTGAAGGTTTCAGTTAACGAGAACACTGGATCCCGCAGCGAAAGTTTGTCGGCAAGCAATGGGTCGGTGTAGGCGAAGAAGTTTCTAGCCGGCCGGTCTAAGCACAAACTGGATTCCCTGTTTCGGTGCAATATATTGCCAGCTCTAAAGGTAAGAGGCAACATATTCCATCCTTATAATCCATTGGACAAGAACAGACATCTTTACCACTGCGACAACAACAAATACCATGAAGATATACTATATGTAGATTCAAGTTCATGTTTCAACCAGATCAGATCATGACAGTTTTATAGGATTGTCGTCCTCCAGTCACTTTTACGTCTTAAAGTTATCGTTTTATAATAGTTTATCTCCAACAAAATGTTACATACTTTATCTTACTGGCTTGACTCCGTTGAGCAGAGTTCTTTCTCAGAAGTAAAATGTCGATACTGGTAAAGAAATTATACGTTCTTAATGGTCCAGAGGGTTCTTTACCACGAACACGAGAAACCGCCACGGGTCTGTATTCTAAGCCAGTGGAAATCAACCTTTTTTGTTCGCGTACCCCCAGATATAATATCTTCAACTTTGTACCCCCAAAGTTGTTGGTGTATAATTCAAGTTATACATAGTATATAATCTACATCTAAAATAAATTAAATAAATTACATTACTGATTATTCAGTGTTTATCATAAAATAATTTTTTTTTTAAAATTTCACGTACCCCTTATGATGTCTTCGCGTACCCCCAGATATAATTTCTCTTCAACTTTGTACCCCCAAAGTTGTTGGTGTATAATTCAACTTATATATAGTATATAATCTACATCTAAAATAAATTAAGTAAATTACATTACTGATTATTCAGTGTTTATCATAAAATAATTTTTTTTTAAATTTCACGTACCCCCAGGTTGAATACCAATGTTGTAAGCCACATGAAGCCCACATCCAGGCACCCACCCAATTTACTTATGATACATTTTAATATTATCCTTCCATACAGCTCTTGGTTTTCCGAGAGCATTCTTCGCTTTAGGCTTCACTCACCACATTGCTAATACTTCTCACATTTACTGTGTAAACTAAATATTCATCGCCACCAGCTAACAGTCACCTGTACGACGGACCAATATGGTCTCCGATATTTCTTGCTGTGGAGACTGCGTCATGCCGACTGTGCCAGGAATGTTTATAGAACTGCAAGAATACGCCCGTGAGACAACGTAGAATTCGGAGCAAATTTTAATTGAGTCTGTATGTATACCGTTTTTCTGTAGGTGCATCGCACATAAAACACCTGTAATCCAGATTTGGTAACGGTGTTTGAGTGGTTACCGCTCTTGAATTAGCTTCAGAAAAATAAATATTCTGTTTCATGAAGATGGTTGTCTTCTGGATTTTTGCTCCGTGTATTCTGGTTGAAACTTACCGACGTACCGACGTACTTACTGCCTCCATTGTATTATTTATGAAGGCAGCAATGACCTCTGACACGTTGGTAAACTTTTACCAGAATACGTGGCCCTGAGAACCTGAAATCACACATTCTGTGTAATACGTCAGTCTCACCCTCATTGACGGATCTTAATTCAAAACGTTTTCCTGTACAACGAAGTGTACACTTCCAATTTATTTCCTTAGGAGATCACAAAAAAGTGAAAGTATTTATAGTTACACTTTAAATACACTTTTAATTTCTCGAGAGCATGCGAAGAGGTGTGAGCTACGAATCACTACAGTTCAGTTGCCGTCGTGAATCATGCATCAGTATCAAAAGGAAAGTTTAATCATTTCTTATTTATTTTAAAAATAGAACACATCCATTCAAATGAAACACTGTTTGTGAACTTCGTCACTCTGAAGGATACACGAGAAGATTCATTTCTGGGATGAGGGCGACCTTCTGAGTCAAAGGACCAGGATGTGTGTCAGTTTACACGTGGCTAAGGAACTGTTTATTGACTCTGGTTATGTAGTGAATCAAAGAACAAGTGATTACTTGTTGCTTTATGAAGCTCCAAGAAGTTCAGTCTTGACATGGTACGTTTTATGGTTCCAAAGAATTAGTATGTCGTTGTCGGGAGCTACACGAAGGGTCTTGAGATTCTCTAGCATCCAGATCACGGGTTCAAACTTCATTCTCACCACAGACTTTCTCTGTAATACCCGGTAAAGAGTGTGTTTGTTACAATATTCTGGTACCTCGTCCTAGAAATTCTATTAAGGATTTAGAAAATATCTTCAGAACAAGTTATTCTGTCTCTAAGTGGTCTCTAACGCTAAGAAATAATTAAGACGTCTAAAATAATTAAGCATAAGCAAATACTGTAACAATTATTCGTCGTTTATGATATTTGTACAATATTTCTCATTTGGTTTGGTGGTCTATGAGTTTTAAAGTGAATCTCTTACTTTACGCCGTGGACAAAGATCAAAAGTGTTCCAGAACAGAGTATCGAGGAAAATATTTGCATGGAATAAAAACAAAGACGGGAACTGAGAAAAATACATCAAGTGTAGCTTAATAATTTGTAAAATAACCTTCATAAGGTAGTTTAAATCATTGCTTTACAGACTAATATTGAACATCAGATGAACCACGCCTTCGTTCTAATATATAAGAGTAATCTGATAAGAACATTTCAATAAACTGCATAACATTGTAAATGATTGTAATTCGAGTTTTAAATTTTACCAATCTAATTTTATACCTGAGGACGGTTAAATATAACCGAAACATGTCGTAAGAGACGTTCCAATTTGTAAATCGATCATTCCATGCGGAACGTGAAATGATATTTTAAATATTTTATATTTTATTATCTTATTAAAATTGTGATTTGACGGAAAATATTAAAATATTAAAATAACCTTCACCAAATACTTTTGTAATGATTAGATACATGGAGATCGGAAATGCACATCAGATGAAACCTCGGTACGGTTGAATGTAAATGAGAACTGTGTAGGTGGAAAAACTCTGAAGCCAAAGTTCGTCTAAATATTATTCAGTTCCTACAAAATAAGGAGTTACTGACGGCTGAAGCAGGTGGGGCGACTTCAAAGGCTGAAATTAATCTTAAAGGAACAGCGTATGGCGACGTAGAATGAATTCGTACGGCTTTGAGAAGGGTTCAATGACGAATCCAATATTCAAGTTCAACTGCTAAATGTGCAGATCCAGAAGATTCAGCGTCAAACAGAAGAACAGCAACAGACGCTAGTAAAACTTTAATTCTGTTGAGTGCTGTGCAAGCAAACTGTGGAACTCGACACAAATTAGGCAAGTACTATCAAAAGTATCGAAGCCCTAGTTTCCCACTACGAAAAACAGACTGTGTGGAATGTTCTATTCTAACACTGTGACAGGAAACAGGCGAAAGAGACCTTTACTTACAGATTTCGAAAGATAGGAACATCGTAATTTCGCGTATATGTGAAGTTCAACTAACCCAGCGAAAAGCAGGTTATGATCGTCAGACAACACGATTATAACAAATAAAAATAGATTCATAAGGTAGTATATTTGCGTCATATTGTGAATTAGGTTAATATTTTAAATTTTCCGTCAAATCACATATCATTTATCATTTATCATTTATCATTTCACGTTCCGCACGTGCGGAACGTGAAATGATACTTTAAATATTTTATATTTTATTATCTTATTAAAATTGTGATTTGACGGAAAATTTAAAATATTAAAAATAGATTCACTCAACATGAATGGAATTTATGACAAGTTCAAGTTTAATTCTGGTTTGTCAGATGTAAGTTTCTCACGACGGCGAATAACATGGTAGAAGTTCACCGACGTTTCAGAGGCAGCAAATTATTATTCCAGAGACCACGTAAATGCAACTAGTAACACTAAGGAATTATACACGATTGTGTATTTAATTCTCGACAGATTCTTTGACATGGTACCATAAGGTGCAGTTATCAAAATCACAAATAAATCAGGGGTCAATAAAAGTATAAAGTATCCGACTAACAAAATTTGAAACAAAAGGCAAGATTGGTACCTCGTTACACTTTTAAGAAATTACTGGTTTCTTGTTCTTAATATCAGCTGAATTAACATCTTTGAAGTGTCTTAATGCATTCGATCGACTTATTAATTTCCATCAAATTGTTAAATACTCAATTTGATGTAAAATTATGCAGTGATACCAAACATCCACGTCTAACACATGTGGAATAGCTCATGTCACTAGATCAAATAACTTCCTCATGTAGTGGTTTCTATGCCAGTGACTAGATGAATATAATGAGTTAACAGCGGATAGAACAGCTGGCATGAGACCTGAATATTAAACGTGTCGTGTGTGTAACCAGCGGATATTGTACATTTATCTGTAGTAAGGTAGGAGAGCGTCGATGGGTTTGTGTAACAGGCGACCTGGCGGTCTGGTGTCCACCATCCCTACTAGTGTTTGTCCACTGCTTTGTGGTTACGTTTTAAATGTGAATTTTCTTGTCTAGATGGTGTACAGACGAGGTCAAATCAGCAATCATCCTGCTTCTCTTCATGGATTAAACCATCATTCTGTCCGTATAGGAAGATGTGACAGCTTCCTTTAATATTAGTTAATTGAACTTTATTAGAATAAGTATATATTAAATCTTGTCCGTCTAATCACAATATTTCTTATTAAATATTAAAATATTACAATAATTAACATTTAAAATATTTAAAATATTAAAATATTAAATGATGTTCATTATCGAAATATTCGATTTACATTAGACCATCATTTTTCATTTTGATAATATATATTCATTATATCACAATA